TCTCTCTCTCTCTCTCTCTCTCTCTCTCTCTCTCTCTCTCTCTCTCGAGGCCAAAACAAAGCCACTTCTTATTAAAATGTGTTCGGTGGCTTTTGAAGTTTAACGGATGCTTTCGTCCGCACAGGAACGTCTGATTGTTTTTCTCTCATTTGCTTCAGTTCTCTGTGAATCACCAAATATCAGTTTTCATGCTAAAGGAAAGGAAAAAAGGACAATCAGATGTCTTGTTTTAGACGGATGAGGCTTTACTTTCACTTGACACCAACATGTAATACCTAAAAACCTAAAAAAAACTACAAGTTAAGTATATTTAGAGTTGTGGACCTGATGGAGGGGATGTTGCTTCTTTTAATTTTCATAATATCATCTTCCCTCATCTTCACCCTGTATCTCTTGTCTCCTCCTCCTCCTCCTTCCTGCATGAGTCCAGCCTTTCTTCTCCTCTCTCCTCATCACGCCTGCTGTCCTCCTCCTCCCATTTCAGCTCCCCCTCCTCCTTTCTTTGCCCTGGACTAGAGAAGAGAACGGGGAGCGTTTGATCCATTTGTTCATCATTCGACTTTTCCTGCTGTCTCAGCTGCATGCACGCTGAAATGTTCTTACATTTTTGTGGAGGCTTTTAGCTACTTTAGGTTGAAAATAGGCAAAAAAAACACTACACTCGTTAGCATTACCAGTTAGCTCACCAACTAGTCACTATTTCACCACTTTACCTTTTACGCAAATGACTTTCCTCGAGCTAGTTTCTGAGGAGAAAGTCATGTGACTTTGGATCAAAGACGTATTGTCTACTGATTACCTGCTTTTCTTTCCGTGAAGTGTTTAACTTTACATGATTCAGTTAAGACGATGTGACCGAGGTAAGAAGGATGGAAGAAACTCAGCTGCCATCTCCGTCACCTCCCTTCACTCCTTGTCTTCTCTTCATCTCACTGTCCTCTTCTTTCTTGTCCTCCTCTGGTCTCCTGCTTCCCTCCCCCTCTCGGTGGACTCAAACGATGGAGACACAGAGGGACGTGTTTACGGATAAAACCACGTTTAAGTCTAAAAGATGTTGCTCGAAACATTAACTTTAATATCTTGTAAATAATGAACTCTTTCCATAA